TTTTGCTCCTTCTCTAGTAGGTACATCTATATATTGATAAGGAAGACTTTCTTGAACGCATTTAACAAATTCCTCACCCTCTGAGCCTTAACACTATGGCAGTCCAAGTCTATATTTGGAAAGTTAAAATCCCTTACTATTACACCCTGTTATTCCCACATATATCTGAGATCTCTACATATTTGTTCCTCAATTTCCCAATGATCCAAAAAATCTGAACCCTTCTCCTCCGCATCACTTCCTCAGCCATTGATTTATCTGCCCTATCTTCTTATTCCTAAACTCTCTAGCACACGGCACCAAGAGTAATCCAGAGATTACTATCTTACAGGTTCTGCTTTTTAACCTTCTACCTAACTTTCTATATTCATTCTGTGAATGAGAAGGAAATAGAGGCTGTAGAACTCAGGGAAATAAAAATTGATGTCTTGAAAACCATCCACATTACAGAAGTAGTAGCGCTGGAGGTCTTAAGAAAAATCATGAAGGTGGATAAATCTCTGGGACCTGACCAAGTGTATCCGAGGATGTGTAGAAAGTTAGGGAAGAAATTGCGGGGCCCCTAGCAGAGATATCTGTATCATCTACAGCCACTGGTGAAGTGCTGGAGGACTGGAGGGTGGCTAATGTTGTGCCTTTATTTAAGAAAGGCTCTAAGAAGAAGCCTGAGAACTACAGACCTGTGAATCTGACATCAGTGATGGATAAGTTGGCAGAGGGGTTTCTGAGAAAGGATTTACATGCATTTGGACAGGCAGGGACTGATTAGGGACACTCAGCATGGCTTTGTGCCTGGGAAATTATGTCTCACAAACTTGACTGAGTTTTTTTGAGGATGTAACCAAAAAGATTGATGAGGGCAGAGAGGTAGACATTTGACTACATGGACTTTAGTAAAGCCTTTGACAAGGTTCCACATGGTAGACTAATTAGTAAAGTTAGATCACATGGGATTTAGGGAGAGCTTGCCAACTGGAAACAAAATTGGCTTGATGGTAGGAGACCGAGGGTGGTGGTGGAGGGTTGTTTCTCGGACTGGAGGCCTGTGACCAGTGGTGTTCCGCAGGGATCGATGCTGGATCCACTTTTGTTTGTCATTTATATGAACGATTTGGATGAGAATTCGGGAGGCATGGTTAGTAAGTTCATGAATTACACCAAACGTGGTAGTATTGTAAACAATGAAGAAGATTATTTAAGATTACAAAGAGATCTTGATCAATTGGGCCAAAGGGCTGAGGAGTGACAGATGGAGTTTAATTTGAATAAATGTGAGGTATTATATTTTGGTAAAAAGAAACGAGGGCAGGACTTATACAGTTAATGGTAGGGCCCTGGGTAGTGTTGTCGAACAGAGAGACCTAGCGGTTCATGTACATAGATCATAGATTATAAAATCCTTACAGTATGGAAACAGGCCATTCGGCCAACAAGTCCACACCACCCCTCTAAAGAGCATCCCACCAAGATCCATTCCCCGACCCCTGTATTTCCCATGTCTAACCCACCTAACCTACACATCCCTGAACAATACGGGCAACTTAGCATGGCCAATCCATCTAGCCTGCACATCTTTGGACTGTGGGAGGAAACCGGAGCACCCGGAGGAAACCCACGCAGACACGGGGAGAATGTGCAAACTCCACACAGGCAGTTGCCCGAGGCTGGAATCAAACCCGGGTCCCTGGCGCTGTGAGGCAGCAGTGCTAACTACTGTGCCACCGTGTCGCCATAGTTCTTTGTTTCATAGTTTCATAGTTATTTGAAATTTGCATCACAGGTACACAGCATAGTTAAGGTGGCATTTAGCATGCTTGCCTTCATTGTTCAGACCATTGAGTGTAGGGGTTGGGACATCACGTTGAGGTTGTACAGGATGTTGCTGAGGCCACCTTTGGAGTAATGTATACAGTTCTGGTCGTCCTGCTATAGGAAGGATATTATTAAATTGGAATGGGTTCAGAAAAAGATTTACCATGATGTTGCCATGACTGAAGGGCTTAATTTATAAGGATAGACTGGATAGGCTGGGACTTTCTTCACTGAAGCGTTGGAGGTGGTGGGCTGAGGTTTAAGAAATCATGTCGGGCATAGATGCGATGAATAGCCAAGGTCTTTCCCTATGGAGGGGGAGTTCAAAACTAGGGGGCATATTTTTAAGGTGAGAGGAGAAAGATTTAAAAGGGACCTTAGGGGCAATGTTTTCACACAAAGGGTGGTTCATGTGTGCAATGAACTGCCAGAGGATGTGCTAGATGCAGGTACTGTTGCAACATTTAAAAGACATTTGGACAGGTACATGAATATGAAAAGTTTAGAGGGTATGGGCCAAAGGCAGGCAAGTGGGACTTAGTTTACTTTGGGGAAACTTGGTCAGTTTGGTCAAGTTGAACCAAAGGGTCTGTTTCCATGCTGTATGACTCTATGAATCAATAATTCTTTCAGAGGCTCACGATTCTTAGGGATTCTCTTCCTGAAAACTCTGGTATAATTAGAGTCGAAATATTTTTAAGGCAGAAGTAGATAGATCCTTATTAAGCAAGATAGTGAAAAGTTATCAAAGATTGGCAAGAAAGAATATTTGAGGCTATAACCAGATCAGCCATGATTGTATTGAATGGAAGAGAGGTTCAAGGGGCTGAATGGCCCACTCCTGTATCAGATGTGTTTTCAAGTGAAAAAAAAAGGAGTGTGACAATGAGGTGTACTATTGCCAAAATTATTCAATCTGCACACAACAAATATTCAGAAAATTTAATGTACTTCTAGGAATAAAATTGGGAGCAAGAGCATCACAAACATGTGGTACAATGATAACATAATATATAGAAGAATCAGAGAGGCCCCACAACATATCAAACAAATCAAGTAAAATCTAGAAATGTGTGATGTAGATTGAGTAAGAATACCAATAAAACAAGAACAATGGCACTTAGAATAAATACACTAGGATAAATGAGAGGGAAGATTGAAATGGATGGCGTACCCTGGAACAAGCAACTAAGTTTTTCTTTTAGAGCAAGTGATAACAGAAATTGATAGATGCAATGCTAAAGTCAGAACAAGGATTGCAGTAGCCGGAATTAATTTGGTGAAGATGAATAATGTGTACACAACTGGAAAACTTAAGCTTGTAACAAAGAAAAAAATCATAACATACTCCACTTTATCTACCTTCCCGTATGCCTCAGAAACCTGGAAATTGGTAAAGATCTGTGGAATAATAGGGAGATCTTTGAATTGAGGATGCTAATACAGATGCTTAGCATCCCACACACAACCATAAGAAAATGAAATGAAGAGGTGCTTGAAATTTCAAGAGCAAAAAGAACTCTTGAAAGTGAATTTCAGAAAATAAAACATCAGTATTTTCGCTATTTGGTCAGAGCTGGATAAAGAAGGAAAAGAGGAGTGCAGTGGACACAGGGAATGACAATGGGTGCAGTGGATGAGGGTTATCACAGAACAGTTGATCTACAGTGGATGTGTGAAGATGACATAAGATAGTTGTGTGTGACAAATTATACTGGCAGATCTCCTGGTAGGAGTAGCTACCAGCACTAACACGTCCGTAATTGAAGAGCATAAATTTTCAGTTATATCATTTAATGGTGAAGGGTCTAATTTAACACATAAACCAATTTCCTTCATATTTCGTTTCCCCAATGCTAAGTGATCTTCAGTCTTCAGAAATGCATCAGATAGCATAATAAATACGTCAAATATGTCAGACTTTATTTGCAAGGCAAAAAGACATTGTCTGCACGTGATCATTTTTTTGTCACCATTACATCATCATATTTTTTTTCTCTGCTTTTGTTAACCAAAAGTACTATAGCAAAAGAGGAGTTGGGTCGCGGATCAACTTTATCTCACTGATTGGTGAAACAGACTCGAGGGGTTAAATACCCTCCTCTTGCCTCTTGTTCCAATTGCAACATAAGGCATGCAAGACTGGATTTTCTGATGGGCTGGGTCCACACACGCCCCAAACTGGTGAACTGTTCTGCAGTGACCGAAAGGCTGTTAGATCGTTAAATGGTTTAAAGCATGAGTTTCACCTTCAGTGGGAAAGGAACTCCCACCTCTGAGAGCTACAGCAGATAAATGGCTCTCCACTTCTGTACCACCATGAGTTTGTACTGCATTCAGTCTCTCAGCACAAGGACACATGGAACCAGAGTTAAAATTTAGTTCAGTACAGGGTCAGTTTCTCATCAGCTCCAGACTGGCAGGTCCCAGCAAGTGAGTCAAGGGGACTGGGGTAGCCATAGTGGGTCAGGCAGGGGGAAATGGGGCCACACTGAGCAGAAAGTTTTGAAAAGGTGCCTCAATTAGCTGCATTCCTTCGGTTGAGAAGTGACTTGTCCCTTGTCCACCATCAACATACATAGGGGATATTGGATACTTGGTTTGGGCCTCCATCAATTAATCCAAGTAGTGGTGGGAAAGGACCTTGAGTAGCTAATAATTGGTCATGTGAGGTCCTCAATTAGCCCAAGTGTAGGTTGGCCTCCTGGTGCCTCCCCCGTACTGCTGGTAAAATCATGGCAAGGCAAGAGCAGGTGGGTAGGTTACGGCTTGGTTTAACATCCAGGGTACTTATTGGAGGTCCCTATAGTAAACTCTCTCCCTGGAGCTCTTTAAATTATATCCCCTCTCTGTCCGCTAGTCTTGAGTGATTTTGGTAACAAGACCTCACCAACAAAACAGAAAATCAACCTGAATGATGAGTTTCATACATGTTCAAACATTTTGTTTTCCAAATCAAATACAAAGCCAAGTGAACCAAGCTCTTAACACAGAAGTTGGCGGAAATACATAGTTTAACTCAATCCATCTTCATTACCATCAGCTGAATGGACTTACTTTGTTATAAATGTGTACTGTATTCACTTCAGCTGTTGGGAAGGCGTTCTAAACAAAGCAAAATGCAAGGCCAAAGCACTGGTGGATGAAAAACAAAGTAAGTGGTTTATCTGATTATTTGGATAACACACCTCAGATTTCAATCTCTCAATCTCTGTGTCTTGATCTTCAAGTTGCTGCCGGAGCTGATGTGCCGCAATTTTCTCCGTTTCTACTATCTGAACCAGATGAATATACTTCTGCATCAGTACCTCACGCTCAATTAGAAGATCACAGTAACTAGGAGAAAAATAACATCAATTAATGCAAAGCACTGTCACAAAATTGAACATTAATCATTAGAGAACATTCCACTTCCGTCCTCATGCTGAAGATGTTTGGGCCAAGGACACTACCTTGATGAACTGAGAGCTTTTATAGTACAATGGTAGTGTTCCTACTTCTGAGCTAGGAGACCTGGGTTCAAGTCTCATCTGCTCCAGAAGTGTGTCATAACATTGCTGGGCAGGTTGATTAAAAAAGAATACCATGACAAACTCTTACAGAGATGTAAAAACCGAAAGAACTGTGGATGCTGTAAATCAGGAACAAAAACAGAAGTTGCTGGAAAAGCTCAGCAGGTCCAGCAGCATCTATGAAGGAAAAATCAGAGTTAATGTTTCAGGTCTGGTGGCCCTTCTTCAGAACGGACCCGGAATGTTAACTCTGATCTTTTCTTCACAGATGCCGCCAGACCTGCTGAGCATTTCCTACAGAGATGTTTTGGGCTGAGATGGCTGGCTCCAGTAATCATAACCATCCTCCTTTGTGCTATCTATGACTCCAACCAGTAGAGAGTCACCCTGAAATACCCATGGATTTTAATTTTATTAAAACTTCTGAATGCAACAGTTGGTCAAATATTATTTTCATGTCAAGGCCAGTCACTTTCACCCACCTCAGGAAACAGTTCTTTGGTCCATATTTGGAGCAAGGGTGTAATGAAGTCCGGAGTCAAGTGGTCTAGGTGGAGAACAAACTGACCACCAGTGATCAAACTGTTTCTGTGTAAGTGCCACTTGATACCTTCCACCACATTGCTGAAATCAGGGATAGACTAATAGACTGAATTAAATTGTCCTGCTTTTTCTGGACAGGACTTGCCAGGTCAATTTTCCATGTTGTTGGATTGTAGATACAATGAAACATCTTAGCTAAGGGAGCAAATATTTGTAAAACATGAGTCTTCAAACTAGATAATGTCAATACAGCCTTCACAGCATCCTAGCACTTTCAGTTGTTTCATGGTACCACATGGAGTGAGTCCAGGTGGCTGAAGACTGCCATCTCTGAAGCTGGGCACCTGACGTAAATAGTTGCAAATGCTTCAGCTTTGCCTTTTGCATTGACATGCTGGGTTCTGACAACATTGAGGATGGAGAGTTTTGTGGACTCGCCTCCCCTAGTTAGCTGTTTAATTACCCAGTAGCATTCACAACTGGATCTGGCAGGACTGCAGAGGTTTGATCTAATCTGCAGTATCACCGATCTCGGTCTTTACTTCCCAGGTATAGAATAGCAGACTGTTGCAGTTTTTTTTATTTACTTTTCACAGCTTGATACAGTAATCCAAAATAATCTCTGTTGACCACAGAATACATAAATCAATGTTTACTCTGAAACTAAATACTGATGATGTATTGAATGAACATTATAGCAGGCACAATCCAAAATTCTCGTTTCTGTTTGCATATTCTGTTAATTTTTCATGATACTTCAGAAAATGCTTTATTCTATTTTGATGGTGGAGGCATGCTAGAAAATCTGCACAATTTGGCAGCTCTTTAAATGTCATTTGGAAGAACACCCTCTGTATGAAAACCTTATTACTTAACTTATTGATTAGCTTTTCCTCTAACAGCATCTGAAGTTCACTATAGATCTCAGCTACAGGTCTTTATTGTATCAAAACAGGCAATCCTGATATCTACTGTTTTAAAACATGAAATGCATTCAATTAGCAACCTCTCCTTTATCCTGCAAACATAAGCAGACACCACTCTGTAACTAAAACTTTAATATTCTTCTTATAATAATTGCAAGTCATGGTTAAGTCTTTAGAACATTAGTTTGATGGAATAGAAATATTGCCCCTTTATTTTTTAGCATCAGTGATAAAGAAAGAACCTTCATTTATTAAAAACCAAAAGAACTGCGGATGCTGTAAATCAGAAACAAAAACAGGAATTGCTGGAAAAGCACAGCAGGCCTGGCAGCATCTGTGAAGAGAAATCAGAGTTAACATTTTGAGTCTGGTGACCCTTCTGACTCATCAAATAAAATGCCAAACTGAATGTCCATCTGTTAATCCTTCCAAAACACCCCATGGCAGGCAGTAAGAGCAGGAGTCATCTTGGTCAGCCATGTGGTGGAAAGAAAATTGGAGCCTGTATCATTACTATTCATAGCTTCAGGATACAACATGCATGTAAAGTGTATGTTGCCACAGCAACTGGGACTCTTTGGGAGACAGTTGGCTAGACAGCTGGTGTGGAAAAGATTGGTGACAGCAGCATAGGGTTCAATCCCATTTTCAGCTGGGCTGGTTTCAGGACCTGCCTCTTTGTCCTTCCGTGGGTGGGACTCACTGGACTGGGGGTCTGTACTTGGGCTGAGAAACCAAGAAGAATAAAAATAGCTCGCTCCCTCTCACTCTAGGGGGAAAGCTTCCAAGGCAGCTTACTGGCTGACAAACATCGGACAGCATAGGCCTGTTATGTTGTATGAGCAATCCATACTGCTGCTCTCTGTTTCATTGCTCACTATAAGGTAGACTTTGCTGGCACAATCCTTCTCCAGTGCCAAGTTGGTCAAGTGTGCTACAGGAAACTATGTTGTAGTCTAACATGAAAAGGCTCTTGTCTTAAACAAGATGTAGTTTGTTTTATGATAGTAATTATGTAGAAGTTACACTAATATGATACACATTGTTCCAAAGACTATGATGAATACCCAGATGGTGGGTCTCATTTCTTCAAGATTCTAATCTCCAGACAGACCCATGTGATATTATCAGAGGAGTGTCTTGTTTAAGGCATTTCACAATATTAACCCTGTCAGACCCTTCCTCACTTACAGAAAATTTTCTCCACATGCTTTTAATCAACCATTATGCATATTTAAGCATTCACGTATATCATTAATTTTACAACTGCCCAATCTCCCCGATTTCCAGACTTCCCAATTTCAGATTGTCTGGAGGTTCTTCCAAAATGCATTGCCTGAAGACCATTACTTTGATTCTGTTTGTCACAATGCAAGGTCTAAAGGTTCCTTTGAACAGGAAGCTCTATAATCTCATGAATTTCCTTTGTGAAGAATTTTTGAAACAGGCACTTTTGATTTTGCATATCCTGGATTTCTGAACCAGGCAATTTCTTCTTGACCATATCCTAAATCTTTGGACATTGATCATGCCTTCTCAGTGGTGGCTTCCATGGAGTGGTATGCACCATGTCTTCTATCTGTGTCAACAGATTTTTATTCCCAATCTGATGGTAAATCTATGTTGAACCATGCAAACATTTTATTTCAATTTGTTGTTTAGGTTGAACACTTCCATTTGCTCTCAGTGACTGTGTTACTGGTGAGAATAATATGCATGTTTCTTTCTCACTCAGGATGATCTCTGACGATTCTTCCTGGAAAGACAGGGAAATGAAATTCTCTGTTTGTACTTGTCTCCTCTGAATCACCTCAGCAACTGACATCAAACTTAAATCTGACACTACTATTTTTTCACTAAGCGCTGCTGCATTCTGAATCATGTCAGTTAGAGATTCACCAGTAAACTCAAGAATTCACGTCATTGATGTAGAAGCCTGCAGAATCCATAGACCACTTCATGAGCAGATGCAGAGGGAAAAAGGCTCAGTGTGGGATTTTTCAGATGGGGAGCTAGCAAGCAGAATTTTTGAGTTAGTGATCACATCCACCCCCATGGGTGTTTTTCAGAAAGATTTGCTAGACAAACTGTAGACTCACAGTGTTGAAGAGCTGGTGAAGAATGAATGTAATTATAAAGCGATTCTTGCAGGTTGACAAAGTTGGAATGTACAAAAAAGAGCGTTGACAAATATATCAAGACATGTGAAAGCAGTGACCTTCTGCATGCGCCAAGGAAATGTCCAGCTTTCAATCAATTTTGCAAGGCATCTGGCAGAAAAGACCATTGGTGGAGGCAGTGCTCATAAACAATTGCTGATGCAGTTACAAAGTACAGCAACTCAAGCAGACTCTACACCTGGGAGTATCTTCAACAAGAAGCATCTGATATCCCATCAGAGGCCTATACATGAAGTGATCAAAATCCACAAACTAATGATGTCCACAACAAGACAAAAAATGTCAAACATATGTCCCCGCTGGTAGGTGAACCCAGAACTAGGGGGCACGGCCTCAAAAAAGGGGGAGAAGATATAGCACTGAGCTGAGGAGGATCTTCTTCTCCCAAAAGGTTGTGAATCTGTGGAATTCCCTGTCCAGTGAAGCAGTTGAGGCTGCCTTGTTGAATGTTTTTAAGGCAAAGATTTTTGACAAGTAAAGGAATTAAGGGTTACAGTGAGCGAGCGGCTAAGTGGAGCTGAGTCTATGAAAAAGATCAGCCATGATCTTATTGAATGGCAGAGCAGGCTCTAGGAGCCAGATGGCCTACTCCTGCTCCTATTTCTTATGTTCTTGTGTTATGTTCACACTGCCAATCTTGTGGAAAATATCTATCATCATACTGTCCAAACTGTTGCAAAAAATCAAAATATCTGTCCGCTGAAAACTGGTGACTATTTATTATTGGCCAAGATTAACACAAAGTAAAGTGCAAATATATTACTTCTGAAATAGGCAAAGTATCCACAGAAATGGAGAGTTATTTCAAAGCCTCTGAACATGAAACTTTCAGCAAATACCAATTCAACAGTTCCGTGTGTAGGATCAAGTCAGAAGTCACACTACACCAGGTTATAGTCCAACAGGTTTATTTGAAATCACAAGCTTTCAGAGCACTGCTCCTTTGTCAGATGAAGTGATTAGAATCACACAGGCACAGAATTTATAGGCAGAGAGATCAAATGATCGTACAAAAGAGATCAGGCGAATGAGTCTCTGTGAATTCTTCCACAAATCCCAAAATGTCAGCAGCAAGCCCAATGAGACAGCCAATGAACCGGAACAGTCGAGAGATCCGCAGTAAAGTGACCAAAGAAGAAAGAGTCGAATTGGACCCCTCCAGAAGGCCGCTGCCC